TTGCTGTGAAGAAGAGGCATGTGTTCTCTGCAGATACAAATTCACAGTTTTGAGAACTGCAAAACCAAACATCTCTGATAATAGAAAAACTGCCCAATAAACTTACAGAAATGTGGATACAGAATTAACGAAAAAATTAAACATTACATGAATATACCACAACATGCTACATAATTAAAAACTAATCCTTATTTCATGATGAATAATCATTGTACTATAATTTTTATTAAATAGAAGATAGATTTTTCATCAAAAAGCATTTTATTTTTAAAAATCCAACTTAGATAAAAAATCTAATTTAAATTTTAAAAATTGGATTGTTTTTATTTATTTATAAATCATTGTTTTTTTATCCATGTTGGATACTATGATCAATGGTACTGAAAAGTGCAGAAAGTTCTAGCCGAACAAACAAGTACACATTCCCCCTTCCAGTTCCCAGCATAGATCATCCCCCAAAGTGCAAAGCTATCTCTGTCCCACAGCTAGGTTTGAAGCTAGATTGAAATAGATCTAGGTAATCTATTCTACAAAAATCCTTGGAGCTGAGAAACTACTTCATACCCCAGCGCCTTGCCCAAAAACAATACTGGAGACCAGCCAGAAAGTATCCAATACAGTGGGTTGGAGGTTCAGGGAGTGGGCTTTTTAATTGGTTTTAAAAAGCAAAGATCTTACTACCAGCTGCTTTAGGCAACTGTGCCATAAAGAGGAATTCACTACTGTCTTCAGATGCTCAGCAAGTCCCTCCCTGTGGGAAGGGCAAGGGTCTAGTACACAAGTGACAGGCCTCGCTTCTCCAGGTTCACACAACTGGAGAAGCAGAAGCCCAAATTGTATGATATCTAATAGATGGAATGAATTTCACATGCAAAGCATTGCACATACTGATCACAGTAGGCTACTGAGTGGCTCAATGTTCTTCTTGTTGTCCAGAGTGTGACAGGTCTCTCTGATGGTGAGTCTGACCAGCAGCAGTGGTGATGGAAAAGAACTGCAACATGGAGAACAGGTGGGCAAAACCAGGAGAGATTTACATGCCTCGTAAGGTGAGGACAGGTTGACACACTCACCCAAAATCAAGTCCTGGTTGACAGAGTTCTCCCATTCCTGGCCTGGCATTCAGCACCATTCCCATCAGCTCAAGGAGAGGATTACCAGGGCTACTCAGGGTCTCTGATTTGGCTATAGCTCGGAAGCAAGCAGCACCCCATTGGTTTTCCAGCCCCATCATGACCCAGCTAACTCCCACCAGGACATCTCCCACTGCCCTTTACTGCTTCACGGGCCACTCCAGTCCTCTTCCACACACATGTCCCTTTTACACTTTCCTCCCACCAACCAATTATGATGGTTCCACTGCAGAGAAGAGACCTAATAATGGTATGATACCACTGAATACACCCAAGCAGTAGATATTCCTTCCCTGCTCATCTAATAGACTCTCCAGAGGAGCACATTGGTGCCATCCCTCCCACGGCAGCCCCATCAGTGGAGGCCCTCCCTGAGGGTGCCCAGGTGTTTATGCAGCAGCAGGCAGGATGCAGACATGTGTGTCAATTTGAGTGAGATGTGAATCAGTTTGTGGGAATTCAGGCACTTTCTGCAAGTCAAACTAGAGCACCATGAGCAAAAGGGTGGGGGAAGGCTCAGGAAAAGGAGAGAAAGTCAACTCCATGTGCAGAGACAGAGAGTTAATCCCTGCATTGCAAGTGCCAGTCTCTCTTCGCCCTTCCAAAACATCTCTTCATATAATTCAAACTGCTCTCCGCCAGCCGGCAGAGAAAGGAAGCAAGTAGGGAGGGAAAAAAGGGCTTGGAGGGGTGAGGAGTAGTTGCGAGCTGACAGACCAAGTCTAAGGAAATAAACAAATGAAGGCAAGATATGAGAGATGATAGCTAGGCTGAGGCTGTAGACATAACAGGATCGTATTTCTTTGGATAGCAGAAATATGTTGGAATCAGATTGTTTCTTCTGTCTGCTTTCTGTCTCTTTCTTTCTCCTTTACATTAGGCAGGCCAGGGCACAGCCAGCTAGCAGGTGAAGGTACAACAGAGCTGGAACACAGCCTGCCTTTCTTCCCATCCATAACAAAAGCTGAGGTCTGCCACAGGACATTATGGGGGTCAGTTGTGCTCTCATCCCCCTTTGAGAGGGTCTCTTCATGCCTGCCTATTCCTACACATGCTTGGGACTGCACCCTTAGTGAAAATATGTCTATTTATCTTCTTACCAAAATAATGGAAGGCCACTACATTGCCATCAAGTAATATCTTCTCATTGCCCTTGACTCCCAAATGGATTTAAGAAGGGCCTTGCTGGATCAGATCAAGAATCCAGCTTCCTCAGCACTTTGTCTCCAAGAAAGTCAGGTGTCCCTGAGAAACTAACAAGCAGAACGCTCTCTATTGACTGCTGCAGCTCCTCATAAGCATAAATAACCTGCCACTGAAGGTGGAGGTTCTGCTTTACTATTGAGGCTGGTTGGTTTTCTCCATGAAGCTGTACATTCTTTTGCAAAGAAAAAAAGAGAGAAGCTTTCTATGCTAGTAGCTGTCCAGTTAACCAGTAGCCCAGTGTTCCCCAGGTTACCCTGACCATACTGGATCAGAGCTAACCAGCAACTTACCTTGGAAAATGAATATTACTGGCATGATCATAGAACTATCTTGGAAGTTAAGAGCTGGGAAAAGGAAGAAAGAAGGAAGGAACATACCACATTTATTTTCTTATTTTTTTAACTTCTGTGCTGCCTAATAGCCAAAGCTCCCTGGGTGACTTACAACAATCCATAAAAACAAGATAATAAAATACAATTCAAGTACAATAATATCACGGAAACATTAAAACTGTAAACAGCTAAAACATCAAGCAAAGAATGACACTGTGAAAAACAGTGGGGATGGGTAAACCCCTCTAGCCCCTGGGTGACCAAGTAAATCTTTAAAGGCCTCAGCATAACAGGCCATCTTAACCTGTTAAACCTGTTAAAAGATGACACATTTGGCACCAAGTGGGCTGCAGTGGGAAGGCTATTCCATAGATGGGGGACCACCACAGTGAAAGCCTCCCCCCCTTGCTGCCACCCTCCAAGCCTTCCTTGGAGCTGGCATTCAGAGAAAGGCCCAGAAGTTGAGCATCTGAGTTGACTGCAGTTGGAAGAGTTGCTCTGGCAGGTACTGTGTTGCCAAGCTTGTAAGGCTTTATAGATTAAAACCAGCAACTTGAACTGGGCCTGAAAACATACAGGCAACCAATCCTTAAACCCATACATAAACACAACATTTCTTACATTAATGTCTCAATATAAGTCATCAGACTCTGCAAAATTGAGCTCCCCAGAAGACCTGCCTAGTAAAATATCCTAAATTTACGATCATATATAACTTGTTGATTTCTGTTGTTGGGTGGGGTGGGTCAGGCTGGGGGCTAAATTGAATTTCCCCAAATTTGTTTTCAATCAATCACTTTGAGTGATCCAGTCAATAGACCTCACAATAAGACTTACACAACAGTTGGCACACAGAGTAAAACACAAGGTCATCACTAACAGAAGACAAGTCCCAAAACGGTCCTAAAAGTTCAAGAAGACTGTTCAAACAAACAAACAAACCGACCCAAACACAGGATTAATTAAATACTATTTCATCCTGTAACGTTCTCTTCAGATTGTATGAAATTTATTGTGACACAAAAGGCAAAGCCCTGGAACTTGTGTAAAGTGTACCAGTGCAAGGACTGCCAAGAAATTACCCTCTACTGGCTTAGAGTGGCCGAGCAAGGTTTCCAGGGAGGACAGAGTGGAGTCCAGGCCAGCCTGAGGCCTAGCACTGCTATTCTTGCTTTTTAGAGATCAGGAAAGCAACAGATTTCTCTTGAAAACTGTGTATGCGTCTGTGCATGAGACACAGCGACAGCATTTTCTATATGTAATCAAGGTGGTTTAAAAAAAGAAAAATAAAACACAGTGTTTTGAATTACTAGGGCACATACATATATTGTTTAAGATAGGTTTTCCAAAGTCATACAGGGTGGGAAGAGGTGTCCACGACTGAAACTTATGAAGAAGGCTCTCTCCCATCTCACCTTTTATGCCTTTTTATCTACGAAGTCCAGAAAGGGAAAATAGGCGGGATGGCAGGAGGCTTCTTAATAGATACGCTTCTCCGTCGCCCTGTATTGTAGCACCCTCTCCAATCCCAACGCACACTAAGTCCCTAAACCTAAGTCTTCAGGAGTAATGAACCACTCCGCTAGCGGACGGAAGGGATCCTTCCTACCTGCCCTTTCTGCTGACTTCTTCACCCGCCTAAAGTTCACCCAACACGCAGAAACTCTCCCCCTTGTGTCCCCAGTGCCTGATCCCTCTCATTTCCAGACCTGGCGCCCTGCCTTCCCTTTCTATTTTTTCCCTGAAGTGGGTGGAGGAGAACGGCGTGAGGAGGGGAGAAGGGGGAAACAAATCAATGATAGTATCTTACTAAGAAGCGCTGAGCGGAGCGGAGCGCAGCGGCAGCAGCGGCTGCGGGTGGGGGGCGCTGAGCAAAGAGCGGCCCGCCTCGCCTCGCCTCTTCATTTCTCGCGCGCGCTTTTTCCCCACCCGCTTCTCTTTTGCTGCGCTCCCTGCTTCGGTTTTTCTTTCCTCGCTTCCTTCCCGGGCGCGTTTTCCCATGCGAGACGCGCCACTCGTGCCCGCAGCTGCCCTGAGAAGGCCCCGGAGCGCCCGGCCCCGGGGCGAGCCTTGAGCCACGCGCAGGACCCGGTCGATGTTCGCTGCACACGCGCCTCCCGCGCCTTCTCCCCAAGCGACGCTGGTCTCGCTCGCTCTCTGGCTATCGGTGTTTCAGCACCCTCTCTCGCCGCCCCTCCACGCCTCTTTCTTCCGCAGGTCGCCCGGGCCACCCGCCACCATTTCCGCCACGGGCAGGCAAGGCGCCCAGCCCCTCCAGCGGCTGAGTATTGGCCGAAAAACTTTGATCGCCGCGGCCATCGGGGTGGTGATGATCCTGATGCTGGTGATCTTGATCCCGGTGCTGGTGAATTCCGTGGGCATCGATGGGCACTACGAGATGCTGGGCACCTGCCGCATGGTGTGCGACCCCTACCTGGGCAAGACCACTTCCACTACTAGCGCCAGCATCCGAACCGAGGGGGCCGAAGGTCTCGGCGGCGGCGGCGTGTTTCCTCCTTCCACCTTGGTGCAGGGACCCCAGGGCAAGCCTGGGCGGCCAGGCAAGCCGGGCCCGCCGGGTCCGCCTGGCGAGCCGGGGCCCCCGGGGGCCATGGGGCCCTTGGGGGAGAAAGGGGATCCGGGGAAACCGGGGCCCCCTGGACTCCCCGGCCCGGGACTGGGCACGGGGGCCATCAGCACGGCCACTTACACCACGGTGCCCCGCGTGGCGTTTTATGCTGGCCTCAAGAACCCGCACGAAGGTTACGAGATCCTCAAGTTTGACGACGTGGTGACCAACTTGGGGAACAACTATGATGCCACCACGGGGAAGTTCACCTGCAACATCCCGGGCACCTATTTCTTCACCTACCATGTCCTGATGCGCGGCGGGGATGGCACCAGCATGTGGGCAGATCTGTGCAAGAACGGGCAGGTAGGGCTCCGAAAGCCGCAGGGGCGCTGCAGTGGCTGGTGCCGCCGCGCTGTCCGGGGACCAGCCGCTCCCGTCCCTGTAATCGGTTATCCCTCGCGCGAACTTCACCCTTTGCCCCTGAGGGGGTTTCAGGTGGGATAAGGATAAAGTTCGGACTAGTCATCGGTATAGCCTTTCAAGATTAAACAGCTCTTCAGTTGTGAGATTTCATTACACTATTGTGAAATATTCTCATTTTGCCTGCATAGGCTTCCTCCTCCTCCTCCTCCACTTTCTAGGCAAGCCTTTGGCTACTAGGAATCCCACCTACCCATCAAAGAACCCCGTAACTTATCCTGCTCTATATCTCTGTTGTGTATGCCGGAAAACGACACAGTTTCCTCCCCCCCCCCCCCGCCTTCTGTGCGGTGCCTGCCAAGTTGGGCAGGGTTCAAGCCCATGTCCATTTGCCTGTGAATGAGCCCTACTGAACTCAACCGAACTTCTGAGGTTGTGCTGTAAGTATTCTATAGAGGGCTAAACTACACTTGCCGGTTCCTTATGGAGGTCGGGAAATTGGAGAGTTACCATCATTTTGTTCACCACCACTCAGCTTTTATGTGGTTAATGCAGGGGCTTGAATGTGTGCAGCTCAGCTGTGCAAAGGAAAGGGCTGTTGGGAGATGGGAGCCCTCAGGTAGCCAGATGCATAAAAGGCCAGGGCTCTTGCACATTTCTTAGTCATAAAAAAAGGGCCCCATTTTTCATCAGCTAATAAGTTCCCCTATACAACCAGATACACAGACAATGTTCTTCAACATCAAAAGGTCAGTTTGCATTTCAGATTCCTTCCAAAGAACCCTAAAGTCTTTCCCTCCTTTTCGTCCCCTTCAGGAAGATAGAGGGAGGATGGTGGGAAGGAAGAGGACATTGGCAAGAACCTTTCAACTGTGAAGGGGTCCCAAACTCTTCGGCAGGCTTTCAGGATGGCTGAATTGATGCTGTTCTTACAGCACAAGCCTAAACATGCTTACTCAGGAGTAAGTCTCACTGAGACTTGCTTCTAGGCAAGTGTGCATTGGATTGTCGCTTTAGTCAATTTTCATGGAATCCATTTAAATCACTCATTTCTTCCATTTTGTCTCCGGAAATCCACCGACTTTTATTTTTAATATTTGATACATGTCTCTCTAATTTAACAGAGGGGATGAAAATAGCTTGGGACATAATGTACAATGTCAAGTATCATTTCAAAAATATATTTTAAAGACATTTTTGAGGTTATCTGGAACCTTTCTCCCACATTCTGAGATATTTGAAAGTGGGCTGCATTATGCAAGAACATTTTTTGAAGTCCACTTTTATTTAAGATAAAAACTAAAATGCAAAGAGGGGGGAACAGCCCACCAAAGAAGGCAGCCATAATCTGTTTCTTATTAATCAAACCTTCCCTTTGTGATAGCACCAGTTAATCCTGCCAGAGGGAGACCAGCAAAGGATTCTTGACACTTCCTAATTGAATTTCATAATTAAGTCTGGCCTCCACAGAACTGCTTTTTATGTTGTATCCAGTACAGATCTATCTCTGTTCTTTTTTCATGTGCCTCTGAATTTCCCTGCTAATAATTCAGCAGTTTTTAAAATACATGTACAGAGATGGTACCACATACTTTTACAATTTTCCAGTTATTTGTATTTTTTTCTGATGTGATATTCTCTTTGTCATGGCTTTTAATTTGGAAAATGTATGTGAGGTAATGGACCACGCAAACAAGTTCATGCCTTCCTATTCTGCCTTAATTATTTCAAAAGAAATTATCACAGCCCTAGTTCTGTACTCACACTCAATAACTCAGGTTACAATTTCCAGGAGAAGCTGCATTGGCCTGAATGACTTAGAGGGCAATCCTACACGTGTTTGCTCAGAGATGCAGAATCCAGTGGGGCTTAACTCAGGTAAATGTGTAAAGACTGAAACCAAATTTTTTAAATTATGGCATAATCCATGCACCCGATGCAGTGGCCTCTATTCCAGGAAAACAAGTGCCATAATAAATTTAGGATGCAGCAATACTTCATTTTAACTCAAGTAAAATGAATTTCTCCCATAGCTCTGCATGCCAAAGGAGAGCTCATAAATGTAACTTGTTGATATTGAGCATGCAGCAGCGCACACAGACTAGCAAAACTCTTGCCTGAAAGGGCTTTACTATTTCTATTACTTTACTATTTCTCCATATGTTCACATTTCCATGGGAACAGTGGTGTGGTGGAGCCAGGGCTCCCAAGGAAATGGCATCAGCACCTTGTAACTTGTGAGGATGCTGACATCATTTGCCAGCCCCCTCTGAGCTTAACTATAGGCCTCATAATAGCTTGGGGGGGGGGATTATTCTTCTGTGCAATGATATATTATATTATCCCTGGCTGTGATGCACAATATGCGGGAGGGGGGCTTCATCCTGAATGGGCAATTAAAGCCTCTTAGCCTTATAAAAACCCCACTCTTTGTGGAAATGAGAATTACAAATATTGGTTCATAGCTAGATTTTTAGACCCTCTGTTTGGCCATAGGGGCAGTCTGGATGAGTGTCTGCACTTCAAAATTTACCACCACATCAGAACAACTATGGTAAGAGCAGATACTGGAGAGGCTGTGATCCTCGGACTGTAAAGTACATTTTTAGCAGCAGCAGCAAAATCAACAACACCAACAGAACACACAAACACAAAACGATCAGTTTCAGTACACAAAGTATAAGAACTTAAAGGTCAGCATTCCTTTCTCCTCCCAGAACCTAAAACTTCTTGCTCAGGCCTCCCAACTGGTTTTAGATAACTGTGGGAAAATGACAATAAAAATGGTATGCATAAACTTACAACTAATATTAGATACACACATTATTTATTAGATTTCTAGCCTGCCTTTTCCTTTTTTAAAGAACTCAGAGCAGCTTACATCTTTCTCCTCCTGCACCCAGTCTTATCCCCACAACAACAACCCTGTGAGGCAGGTTGGGCTGGGAGTCTGTGACTGGCCCAAAGTCACCCAGCTAGCTCCATGGCTGAGCAGATACTTGAACGCAGATTGTCTGAGTTCCAGACCCCTGCTTTTAATCACTACACCACACTGGCTCTCCCAGTTTATACATTAAAGGCCAGCCATTAAACCTGAAAGAAAGAAATGGACCTTGCTCTAGGCTCAGACTCTGAACCAACTTTCAAGACCAGAGATTAGCCCATACTATGTGAAGAAATGAGTACCTCTGAACACGTGCAAAGTGCCTTTATCACACCAATGGATAAGCACAACCCCTGTACATTGTTACAGGAGGAGCATTGTTACAGGAGGTCACGTCTGGACATCTGCCACACATCTTCGGGGCTGTTCCAGTGCCATCTTGTGACTCATGCGCATGCTTCTTTCCTCTTCTTGGAGTTACTAGGCACCCTTAAGAGTCACTCCCTTTGCAGATGGGTAGGGAGTCAAGCATCAAGTTACCAGCCTGTTAAATAAGAGAGGAAATGGCCATTTTGTCTGTTTCTCTCTTTCTCTCTCTCCATCACTGCTGCACCTTGCACCAGGCATAGGATGCATGTTAGATTCTGAGTTTAGCATCTGACAAGCATCTGTCACAGGGTCAATATGATTGCACCTTCCAGGACACTTATAGCCCATCTGGCAGGCCATTGTTTTTAGAACAATGGTCCACAAGGAACATAGGAAAAAAGTATGCCTTTTTTGTTTTAAACCCTCAAGATGTCAAAGCTGCTCTTGTGCAAAAAATGTTCTGATTATTCTGCAGTTTGGAAGACATTGTCCCTTCAGATGAGACAACTCATTCTGAAAACTAATTTATTCTACTCAGAAATAAAGAAGTTACTGGCAGTTCCCTTTAAAAGAAAATTAGAAAATAAAAGCACATAGCACAATATTTTGCACATATTTTTTTCTGATGTGGGGTGGGGATAATCCTAAATGGCTGCAGCTATAATCAAGTTCAGACCAAGAGGAAAAATATTATAGTGTTCTTTTAAATTTCCTGTGATATCACAGCACAAAGCCTCAGGTTTCCAATGTTCTCATAGCTTTGGTACCAAGTTTGGTACCAGATGGTTGAAGGAGAAGCAGGATGTTTTTCAAAATGCCAAATCAGGGTCTGTCTCAAAGCACTGGGTCAGTGTACATCTCTTGGTTTCAGCTTTTGTACCTAATAACAATAAGACAGAAGCAAAAACATTTGACAAATTAAATAACAGATCTTTGTCTCTGCTTTGTTGAAGTGCAGAAACATGCATGTTTGTGTTCTGGAGCTGGGACCCAGATCTTTTAAGTGTCCAGCACCCATTGGCCCAGGGATCGGGAAGCAGGGCCCTGTGCTGTGCTCTTTTAACCACTGGCTATACCCAGCTGCTTCTTTGCTAACAGAAGGCTGTCTCCACTCAGCAGAAGCTTCCAGATCTCAACTGCACAAGCTCTTTGCTCACAAGTTACATAAACTGCTCAGGCTTGGAGACAAATTCTGTCAGTGAAGGAGATGACCGAGTATGCATGTCTGAACATTGACTATCAAATGCCTGCCCAGAGAAATCCTACACTGGCTCATTTCTTGGGACTGTTTTTGAAACTTTTTCCCATACAGCTGTCACCACATTAGGGGCTGCCTGAGGAGAAGGACAAGATGGTGCCCCTTTCCATTCCAGATACAGAAGCTGGCCACACTGGCAGACAGAAATAACCATCAAGGGCAAACGTGGGACACCACCATCCACTGCAAGTGCAGAATGGGTTGCGCGGCACACCAAGCTCTCCCCTAATACCTCTCTGCCCCCTCCCCCCGATGACTACTCATGGACCCACTTTCTGATGTGGGAGCATCAGAAAGTTTTCAAAGTTGCTGACTTTGTCTAGACTCCATAGAAGGCTCAGAAGAACTTCTCAGGAACCCTGTGTTGTGAAGCACTGTGTTTTATTGAGCATGTCATGTTTATATCTCAAAGGAGGCTTCTGGATTGACCAG